TATATATATATATATATATATATATATATATAAGATCTTACACTTGAGATCAAGATACCACCTGCCCATGTAAAGAATGGAGGGAAAAGGTGGCCATTTTGCTCAGCACAGAAGGTAAGCTGCAGTCTGGGATGATCCTCAGGTATCAAGCACCAGTCTGTCAATTAATACCCTGATGGATTGCAACACACCCTTCCCTGTCCCGGCTCTGGACGGCTTCAGAATTCCACAGCAGGCTTGGGCGAAGAACTAGAGCCACGGAGGAAGAAAAGTGTAGTGGCTAAGGGACTGCAGTTTGGGGGCAATGTCCTGGACCCCAAAGTCTTTTCTACTCATGAGCTACATGATCTTGAACGATTTACCTCCCTGACCCCCGCTTTCCCGATCTGTGGTAATAATGCCCAACCTGCACGGTTCCGGATGAAAGCAGTACTGTACATAAAGCAGGTGTGGGCACACCGCTCAGTGCGCAGCAGGGTTTAGTAGGTATTTGCTAGTATTCACTGATGGTGACACCTGCTTTCAGATGTTTCAAGGGACCTTACCTGGAAGGAAGAGTAACTGCTCTGAAGACCCTGCAAATAGCGCATGGAGACTGCGCAGCCGCTTCTACAGAGCAGCAGTCTGCGGATGGCAGTTAGAGCACTTCGCAGGGACACTGCAGGACCAGTGCTTCTTCGGTTTGCTACACTGGATCCCCTCTGCCTAGTGGTATAGGACATTCGTACCTGCTCACACCCTGAAAATACCAGTAAAACCATCAGACTCATCTGTTACCTAAGCAGCCCACAGCTGACAATTACACTCCAACCCAGGAGGAAAAAAGCAAAGCTGGGGAGGGCTGTTACGTTGCCTTTCAGACTTGGTGGCATGTGACTAACCAGGAGTAAGACCCTCTTGTAAAAGGAAAAGGCAAACACAAAGCCCAAAGGTGCCAGCATCTTCTGCCCCCTTGCACACCAGGTCCCCTCTCAAACAGAGCAAGTCTTAGGAGACCCAAGGCGTCCAGCTCAGTACCTCTTCTGTGGTCGTCAGCAAGTGCTGTGAGGCCCAGGCAGGGCGGTGGAAACACTCCCTTCAGGCGGCTTGCCCCCTCCCAGCTCCCTCTGACCAAAGCGGGCAGTCAGTTTCCAGATAGAAGACATGGCACTGGAAAAGGTCTTTGAATAAAACTTTTAATAATGTACAGCAGAAATCGGACAGGCTCATTCTTATATTAAAACAAAAGATTTCCTATATTACAATTTATTTACATTTGCATACTGAAGAGGTAAAGTGTCTAAGTGGCTATTTTACAGTCCTTTCTAATAAAATGTACAAAAACAAACAGAAGTACCGAGAATGCCGCTCAGGGGCCTGATGGTGACGTAAACGGGCTTGGACTTGGTCTGTGAATCCAGAATCCAGAGGTGCAGGTAGCCCTGTGGATCAGGGTTGGTTAGCCTCAGGGGACCACAAACACAGCATCAGCTTTTCCCTAGCTCTTGCCTGGTGTTAAGAGTGGCAGGGGTGGGCGTGGGAGTTTCCCCCAAACTGCTCAGTTTTCCCCAGAGGTACCGGAGCTGGGCTCTGCGTGTGGTGAGGGCACAAGGGTGTGTGGTGAGGTCAAAAGGGCCCCTGGGGAGTGGCTAGTAGCTTGGAGTGCTGGGTGGACACATGGCAGATCCCACAGGCGAGTTGTGACGCAGGGCAGGAGTGTAGGCTCCACCATCACCTGTAACTGCCAAGGTTCTGCTGCAAGGCGGTAAGTGGGAGGTCAGCAGGGGTAAAGGAGGTCCCTGAAGACACAACTGGTATTCCATGGAAGTCAATCAGTGGCCAGTAAATTGGCCCAAAGGATGAGAGGAAGATCGCCTTTAATGCAAGGCAAGACGTAATACATCAAGAAAATAAATAGGCCAGAAGCATGGGGAGACCAAGGGCATGAAGGGCTCTCCCTCCTCCTCAGGCTTTGGCAGAGAATTGCCGGCTGGATGCTGCAAACATAATGTGCCTCTCCGAGGGCAGGAAGGGGACAGAATGAATGCAGTGCTTTGGGTTCTCACGTGGGGTTCTAAACCCCAGGCCTCATCCCGAGTAGTCTCTTTGTGAGGGGAGACAGAGGAGCCGCTTTCCTCAGTGGTCTTATTTAAGAGCAGTAATTCCAGGTTCTAAGGCCAACTACGAAAACGTCTGGTCTCAGAGCAGGCACCCACGTACTTGATTTACCTCCTTTTTCAGTGCTCCCAGAGCAGGACCCAAACCAGTCTAGTTTGAAGGATTTCCAGGCCCAGCCAGTGTTAGGCACCCAGTAGCACAGGACGTGAATTTTCTGAGCAAAGGCCTGGAGAATACAACAGGTGGGCACTGCACAAAGGCCGGGGTGCCCCCATAACGAGGCAGGGACAGGAGGCAGAGAGATCAGCCCTCCAGGGCAAGGAGGAAGTCTCACTGCTGAGTGGGAACAGGCTCAGGTACAACGATTTCCAGTGTGATCGAGCTATGTGCGTTCGATGGGAGAATTTTCTTTTTTTGTGGTTGTTTTTTAAGGGATTTCTTTAAAAACAAAGATTGAGAGGTAATCACATAAAGGTGGTTTTCCTTTTATAAAAACTTAACATTAAAAAAAGTTAAAATCCAGACCCTCCCAATTAAAAAAAAAAAAAAATCAAACCACTCCAGTTAAAAGTTATGGCTTCAAAGTTATTATATACCTAAGATATGCTGACCAAATCACCACCCACGACCGTGCTTCTAGACTTCATTAAATACTATACTTAGGTTAAATAACATGTTCGGCTCAGGCTGTTCCCTCGTAGGGCCCCTGAAGTGGATGCAAATCTCTCATCTTCCCTCCACCCTGATCAGATAATCCAGTAAAAGGCCCATGCAGATGCCCCCCTCCCACCCCAGCCTCCCTCCCCACTCCTTGTCCCCCTTTCCCATCCCCACCCCAAACCCACCACCACCAAAAATATATACCGCAGTCTGCAGAATCTGGGAGGGGACAGGCAGATGTGACATTCCAATCTTGAGTCCCAAGATCTGGCTTCAGATTCTTTGGCCCTTCCTCGACGCTGCTGAGGATGATACCCTTGGGCTGGCTCATTTCCCACGGTCAAAGCTGACACTACAACACTCAACATTTCTGCCAAGACTTTTTTCCTGCCCATCCCTCCCCCCCAGTCGTCACATTTTGACCCAAAAGTCTCTTCTGCTATGGACAACTGGGCCAGCTTTGGTTCCACAGTCTGAAATGGAGGAGGAGAGCTGTGCGGACACAGGGTGGACAGAGCAGCCTGCTACGGAGGAGGACCACCACGGCAGGGGCTGGGGGACCTCCAAGAAAGGGCACCAGGGAAACTAGATGCTGCTCACTATTACAGAGGCACCAGCAAGTAGAGACGGCATGACAACCACACCCTCGGCCTGCACATGCACAAAAAGCTCAAGCAGGTAAGTGCGCACCTACAGACACACACGTACACACACGTGTAAGGGCGTGGCACGGACCAGGCACAACAGGGAACACACCTCGGCACATGCACACAGAGCCAGACAGACAGGCGGCAGGTTCTGTGGCCACTGGCGGACCCTCCCGGTGTCCTTGGGAGGCGGAGCGTGTGGCTCAGAGCTGCCTATGAGGGGGGCTGTACTTCTGGTTCCTCTGGGCCACCCTGGTGACTGGGGCTGGTCCCTGGGGGAAAGCCCTCATTGTTGCTTAGTACTGACAACAACCTGGCTTCTCCTGACCACCCCAGGCCACCCTTCCACCACGCCTGGTTCTGTGCCAGATGCACCGGGGTTTGCAGACTTCCCACTGCAACCGGTTTGAGCTGTGGCATCGAGTTCTCCACACAATTCGCTCTCAGAGTCTCCATGCCAGCAGGAGGTAAATAGAAAAGGTGTCTATGTCTCAAACCCAACAAGGGAGTGAGTGAGTCTCCCGGGCTCTGTCCCTCTTTCCGGCCAGGGCTCTGGCCACGGAGGGCTGGGCAGAAACGAGAGGTAGGCCTCCATCGTACGCTCAACACGGCAGCTGCTTGTAGTTCTCACTGCCCAGGATTGCGTGCAAGGCAGAGGGAGCAGGTTAGATCTTCACATCTTCCTGCACGCTGAGCTGTGAGAGAGTCTTCTTGATGCGCAGTGCAGTCAGGCGGGCTGCGCCGTTGGCATACCAGCATTCCCGCATCATCTTCCCCATCACCCGCAATGCCTGCAGAGAGACTCAGGCTGTCAACATGACCTGACTGGAGAAGCTCTTCTAGTCCCTGCAGCCTCTACAGCGCTCAGTCTGTCAGCATACTCTCTGCCCCTGAAATATGCTGCAAACGCTTCCTTCCTTAAAGGACAGGCTGTGCAGAAGACAGAAGATGCTGCAGGTACAGACTAGCTCTTCCAGTCTTACTTTCAAGTAAACCTAACCCGAGCAGCCCAAGGAACATTTTGGACAGTGCTGCTTTATTATGCAATGAGAATGTATTACAAGGCTAAAATGTGAGCTTAGCCTGTAATCTCAGCACTCAGGAGGCTGAGGCAGGAGGATGCTGTGAGTTCAAGGTCAGCTTGGGCTACAAAGTGAACTCAAGGTCAGCCTGAACTGCAGTGAGACCCTATCTCAAAAAAAAAAAAAAAAATTGAGCTGAGTGATTTTGTTGTTAATGCAGAAATGCCCTCTAGTGGTTTCATTCTAAAAGGCAGAGATCACCTTCACCTTCCCATTAGGAGTACATCCGAGATCCAGTCATCAGAATACACACTGTGCCGCACGCCTGAGATTTGCTAAGAGTGGACTGATTATTTATTTTGTGGTGTGAAGAATTGAACCCGGGGTCTCATGCATGCCAGGCAAGTGCTCTACCACTAATTTACACTCTCAGTCCAAGAGCTCTTCAGTGTTCTCACAACATACACACAAAGGTAACTGGCGCTATCTAACTAACTTGACTGCATTAACTAATTTGACTGTGATGATCACTTCACAATACATATGGATATCAAACTGGCACATGAACAACTTATTTTGTCTGTTATACTTTAAATAAAGCTGGGTACACAAATGAATAGAAAAGCAGGGCTACCACTAAAAAGGCAGCCACATGCACTCAACTAAGCAAACTTTGTTTCTCTGAATACTCAGACACCACAGCTCCATGTTAGGAACCTATATCATAAGCCTGCCCTCATTTCAACTATTTCCAACAAATGTTGTCCATCTGTCCATTTCATCTGCCATCTGTCCCAAATTCAAATTCTCTTTCCTAACTCCAACCCCTTCACACATCCCTTGTGCATCTTTAGAAAGGCCGCTTCCTCTGCTGCATCAAGTCTCAGGGTTCTCCTGTGATGTCTCTCCCTAACTCTCCACACTGCGCAGCTCACTCAGTGGCCAGGCAGACAGGTCTGCCTTTTGTTTCTGTCTCTTGTTGACCACCTCCCTTATCTGTGCCCTGGACAGAAGTCTTTTTTCTATTAGGCTGTTACCTCCAAAGGGTATCCTATAAGGACCAGGTCAAATGCCTGTAGCCACAGAAGACTGAGTATATGGAAGTATAGAATACTAGGGTATCCCTTATTCTCAAAGGTCCAGAAATATTACAGATTTGGACTCTTCCACATTTGGAGTATTTGGACAGTTACATCCTGAGGACGTGAACCAAGCCTAAGCATGAAATCCATTTATATTTCACATCTACCTGCCTTATACACACAGCCTGAAGGTGTTTATACATATTTTTAGTACACCTGTATTTTGACTGCAACCTATTACATTAAAGTCAGCTATGAAATTTTCCATTTGTGGTATCATGTTGATGATCAAAGTTTTAGATTAGTGAAGCACTTAGGGGGTGCACCTGGGGATTGGTCCCATTTTTGAAAAACCTTTTCTAAGGCAGAGAAGTCAAACACAGGGGAAGGGTCACTGACAGAAGGAGGCAAGGAAGCACCCTACCTCATAACTCTGGGTCACTGACAGAAGGAGGCAAGGAAGCACCCTACCTCATAACTCTGCCACCAGTTGGGGATGTTGGGACGCAGCTTCTGGTCACAGACAACCTTTCGCATTTCCTCAATGGAAGGGTCAGAGGGCACTAAGTCATAATATGGCAGCTGATATTCTTCATGGACTCCTGGGAGAAAAGAAAATACATAGCTGAGTTACTGACAGAAGGAAGAAGAGTTGAATCCAAAAGCAATGACAACAGCCGCATGATGATCTGGAAATGCTACTTCCCACTAGGGCTTCTTGAAATAGGTCAGTGATTCTCATGGAACAACAAATATACAAGAGTAGAGCTGGGTGCGGCAGTACACACTTGTAGTCCTAGTGCTCAGGAGGCTGAGGCAAGAAGACAGTTCGAGCTCAGGAGTTTAAGGCCAGCCTGAGCAACACAGCAGGACTGTCTCAAAAGGAAGCAAGAACAAAGAGATGGACTGAAGAACAGAGGGACAGACAGATGGATGGATGGATGGATGGAAGGAAGGAAGGAAGGAAGGAAGGGAGGGAAGGAGAAAGGAAAGGAGGAAGGGAGGGACAAATTTTAAAAAAATACATGCTGGGTTGGGCGTGGAAGGGCATGCCTGCAATCCTAGCACTCGGGAGGCTGAGACAGGACTGCCAAAAGTTCAAGGCCGGTCTGGGCTACATAGTGAGTTTAAGACCAGTCTGGACTACACAGTAAGACCCTGTCTCAAAAAAATAAAAAAAGAAATACACAAGAGTAGCCAGGATAGGAACATCTTTTTCACATCAAAAAAATACGGAAAATATCAAAGACTTTTGGGGTTTCTTCAAAAGGCACTAAGTTGAAAGCCCATAACTAGACAAAGATTAGGACATTTAAGTAATAAGACTAATACATGTGATTGCAACAATTATTTTGAGGTCCAACATTTTATATGTTTTTGGAGGGGCAGTATTGGGAACTGAACCAGAGCCTTCACACTAAGCTATATCCTCAGTCCATTTTTTAAATTTTTTCTTTTGAGATAAAGGGCAGGGTTTTACTACATTGCAAAGTTGTCCAAACTGTACACAAAATTTCAATCCTCCTGCCTCAACCTCTCAAGAGTGCTTTGATTATAGGCCTGCATCACCACTGGCTTTACAGTGATTTCTTTTTTTTAAGACATGGTCTCACTATGTACTTCAAGCTGGTTTTGAACTCACTCCAGTCAAGGCTAGCCTTGAACTCACGAGATCCTCCTGCCTCAGTCTCCTCCTGTATGCTGGGATTACAGGCATGTGCCACCATACCTGGCCAATGCTGACATTTTAAAACCTCCAATGAATTTGGATTTGGACAATGATCACCCTGGCTGTCACAAAAGGAGAGATGACTAACATCAAGTACCTTATACTAGAAGAGTAGTACCTACAAAGACTTGCAAAAAAAGAAAGAAAACCCAGATATGCCTCTAGCTGCTAGATCTAACTACCAATTCACAGGAAATGCCAGGAACAGCACTTGTGAACTCCACGGGATGCAGTGAAATTTAGCCTTGGAAACTTTACAGGCCAATGGACTTGGACTCTCCTATAAAAGAAGAAAAAAATGGAAGAGGAACTTGCACACTAGAAAAGACATAAAAGGTATAGCAATCAACTGCAAAAATGGATCATACTTGGACCCCAACAGCAAACAGTTAAGAAAAATTAGAAGATAACTGGAGAAATTTCAGCCATGACTAGATGTTAAACATTTTAAAAGTTAATGTTCTTGTTTCTCTCACTCTCTCTCTTTTTTTGCAGCCCTTGGGATCAAACCTAGGATTTTGAGCCTGCTAGGCAAGTGCTCTACTACTGAGCTACACTCCCAGCCCAATGTTCATTTTTTAGTGTGGCAATACATTTTATGTCCGTTTAGAGCTACAAACAGAACAAATTCCAAAATAAAAAGTTAACTTAAAAGATCCAATGTATTCTTATGCATCTTTTCCCAGAAAGTACCCTGCTGTTTTGAGTGAATATGAAAGATTACTAAAGAGAGAGTGTCACTTGGTAATTACCTATGGGGTAGTTAAGAGCTTAAGCCCTGGCCTTAGCCTGCTGAAGCTTAAATTTTAGTTTACTAGATGTACGACCTTGGACAATTTACCTAACCTCTCTCTGAACTTGCATTCTTCATCTATAAAATGAAGATAATTATAGTACCTACCTTCATACGTTTGTAGTGAAGTTTAAATGTGTTTGTAGTCTGTAGTAAAGATTAAATGTGTTTATACATAGCAAGCGGTGAACAGCAGTTAGCTCTAATTTCTGGATGTCATGAGAAAGATGAGAAAGATGAAATGAACTTACAGTTTAAGACCTGTGTGACTTGTTTTCTCAATCTGTGTTATCTGTATACACTGGTCAAAACGTAAGATGTACAATTCCATGACTACTTGGGCATTTCCTCTATTGTTTCAATCTCACCAAACATACCACAAATGGAAACGGGTGGCAACAGACAAAAGAGTTCTGGAAGATTCAGCTGTGTGCTGTGCCCCTCCCCGTCCTCTGCAGGGCATGAACCCAGGGCCTTGCACATTTGAGGCAAGTGCCCTACTACTGAGCTACATCCCCAGTCATACCAGTTATTTTTAATTTGATCACTTTCACTGCCCTAGAATCTTTCATTAGAAAGAAATGGCTCTAGGGATTATTGAACTTGATCATGTGACAGAATACTTGGAGATCATTAAATACAGATATAAGCTGATGATAAAAAGTGTCTTCTGCTAAATTTTTTTTTTTTTGGTTTTTTCTCCGGTACCGGGAACCGAACTCACGACCTTGCGCTTGCCAGGCAGGCGCTTTTGCCGCTGAGCTAAATCCCCAGCCCCT